TTCCGCTGTGTGTTTTTTGCGTTTCTCTGTGCGTGTGTGTGGGGGTGTGTGTGTGTGTGTGTCTGTCTGGGGTATATTGTCTGTCATTTGTTTGTTGATGAGTTTGTCGAGTTTTTGGTGTAATTTAGTGGTTTTCATCCGAAAGTTTAATTGTTTTTTGCAAATCGACGATTTGCTGTGTCATGGTTAGTATTTGTAGGTATTGTCGGGTGTTTTGGTCTGTCAGTTCGTGTATTTGTTGTTTTAGCGTCTCGTTTTCATGCTTTTGTGTTTGTAACTGTTCGTATAAATCTGTTTTATTGGTCATGTTTTTAGATAGCATGAACGAATGTAAAATTTTTGTCGCAGAAATGGTAAAATCAAAATCGATAATCGCAACTCGCAAACAGGTTTATTTTCATTATAGGTGGCACATTAATATTTTTTTATTACCCCTTGATTAATCATTGTCACTTTCTGACAACATTGAAGAGAAAATAATATCTACAGTTTCAATCATATCCATATCAGATTAAAATATTAGAAAAAAAGTATTTCTAGTTTAACGTTAAACTACATGAACTGCTGCAGAAACAGATGTTGATGGTCTTGATAGAAGAAAGTAGCCAACACGTCACAAGCACAGAATAGGTCTGTTCCAACAAGAGTCAGGGATTGGTTCCAAACCGTCAGAAATGTGCATCCAACTAATTCTTGCGATATATTCACTGAAGACACATTTAGAATTTAGCTGGCCAAACATTTCGAACGGTTGGGAACCAATCCCTGACTCTTGTTGGAACAGACCTAATGACATAATAAAAGTACAAGCCGAATAAACAAACAGCTTGACGATATCAGCGAGATAACCAACACATCTGTTACATGTGGTCTTGGTTGCATATATTTTGAAATAATGATATAATCAAAACTTACCGCACGAGGACAGCACGTCTCGACGTGGTTTTCGAATTAACGAAAAATCAGAAAACTTTTGGGAAAAGGTTAATGGGAAAAAATGATTTATTATTGCATCAGACAGGGTATAAAGTTGGTCATTTTGATATGGTAAAAAAAGTTAAAATGTAATTGTTTTACATAAAAATTAATACCTTTCGACATTGTAAACTTTAATTCTGAAGCTATTTACCAAAAATAGTCCCATTTCGATAAGTATGGAGCTCACAGTTAGTAATTTCAAATATGGCGGCTTATACTATAGACTATAGAACCCTCTTAACACTAAGTATTTGCAATTTGCTCTTAGAAAACTCTGACACTTGATGGCTTCTGATACTTTCTGATCATTATTTGAACAAAGCTAATAAAAGCTTTTGTTTAGTTTAATTATTAGTTTATTAATAGTTATATAGTTCATAGTTATTAATTAGAAAAGCGACATTGTCAACCAAATTTATAAAAAAAAATACCTGAAAATCAGTTTATTGCCTTGTAATTATAAAATAAATTATGTAATAGAAAATTTGCTTAACATAATGTAATAATATTAATTTTTATCACTTTTTAAATACTTCTTCACTTTTTCTTTATACGCTTTTTCAATTATTGCAATCTGTAAAAAAATATGGAAATTAAATTTGTGGCACTTATTTCCTAAATTAATATTTTTTTAATTAATTTATTAGTTAGAAGAATACAGATAAGAGATTTTTTGGAAGCGTGACCATCTATAGTAGGATCATATTTGATGCAAAGTAATAAATCATTGCCTGTCAAGAAACCAATGAAGTACGCTTTTAAGGGTTTTACAAATTGAATAATTTCTTTATACATTATGAAGGGACGAGGGGATCAGTTCAGGTCTGCCACCCTTGTTCCTATAAAAATTCCTTTATTCTCATAAACTATTTATTTTAAATGTAATTTATTATAAATCGAATTTGTTTCCTAAATTCCACATATGTACTACATTTTACCTCTGTACCCGCCACTGTTGTTTACTTATTTTTTGGAAGCGCTCTCTAATTGACGGCAAAGCTCGCCAGGTTAGTATTTGACGTATAACCGACCAGTTCGTACACTCGATGCACCTGGGCGACTACAGCTACTACCAGAACACAGTGCGTATGCAGCGGTATTTCAGATTTTACATTGAATTTCATTTTAAATTTGAAATGATTTATCTTACGCCTCCTAAAAATGATGACACAATTTTCCTTTGATAAAAGACCGAGAACATTTTGCTCTACTTTGCATCGAATACGATCCTACTATAGTATTCACACCGCTATATTTGACCAGCTGTCTAACTATATAAATCTACAGTGGCGACAATAGAGGTCCAAGTGTTATTAAATGGTTATGTAGTATCAAGGAAATGAATAGTCTTAGAAAATATTGAGGAATTTGGTGTACAGCAGAACTAATGGCCAACTTTACATAAAATTTTACAGAACACAAGCCATTGGATATAAAAAGTATAAGTATAATATAAAAAAGTTACTTTACTAATTATTATTACCACAAATGAAAATATTTATTGTGACATTTGAATTGATAAGTTCTCAAATATATTTTAACAAACGGCTTACTTAAAAGTACCCAGATTGATCAAGTACCGTAATAAATGCTTTTGTTTGCCTGAAAATGGCAGTTTGACAGATGCCGGATTATATTTACATAAAAAAAAAACAAGGTAGCTTTTATTTTTTCGTTATTTTACGTTGGCCTATTTCTGCTACTATAGTTATACTATACGCTGGCGCCAGCAGACGAGCAACCCCCAACCTGGAAATTTTGCCGAACCACCACTTTGTCGTGGGGAAGGGATCTTTTACTTGCCTAACATTGTTTAAATAAGGGACCAATGGTTTTACATCCTTTCCGAAGGATGGTGTGTCATTCTATACAAACCTCACCTAAATTTAATTTGTATAGCTCCTGTGAATACACCGACATACAGGCCACTAGAGGGTGGACGAGCATCGCAAACATTCCCTGGATGGTCATCCATCCAAGTACTAACCGCGATCAGCATTGCTTAACTTTTCATATCAATGACATGAATGCCTAGAGGCTAGGCCGCACTCACCCCACTATTGAGGTATTATACACGGTATAGCAAAAGTACCGGAACGGCAGAATAACTCGACAGGAGAGCATTTTAGAGAAAAATGTTAAATACAAAAGTTTCAGGATTTTTCCATGGCTATCCGATGACGACCTTGAAGATCATTTCAAGGTCAAATGTGATTTTTCAAATGGGAACCTATACTTTTGACCCCAGAAATGAAGAGCGGAAAATTTTACGTTCAGATATACCTTGAGTGACCCCTCCCTTTTGACCTTGGGGCCCCCACAAAGTCCAACTAACAAAAGTACAGGAATGGTGGTAGAGCATTTTAGAGAAAAATGTTATATACAAAAGTTTAAGGATTTCTCCCTTGCTATCCGATGGTGACCTTGACATTGACCTTGAAGATCATTTCAAGGTCAAATGTGATTTTTCAAATGGGACCCTATACTTTTGACCCCAGAAATGAAGTGCGGAAAATTTTATGTTCAGATATACCTTGAGTGACCCCTCCCTTTTGACCTTGGGGCCTCCACAAGGTCCAACTAACAAAAGTACAGGAACAGCAGAATAACTCGGCGGTAGAGCATTTTAGAGAAAAATGTTATACAAAAGTTTCAGGATTTCTCCCTGGCTATCCGATGGTGATCTTGACATTGACCTTGGAGATCATTTCAAGGTCAAATGTGATTTTTTCAAATGATACCTTATACTTTTTACCTTAGAAATGAAGAGAAAATCCACTCCTTGTTTGGTATGGGTCCTAGCATCCTCTTAGACTGACTACAACCACTGGTTCCCCACCACTAGTTCATGTGCTCCTGGTTGACCAAGTCCCTGATGATGGTTTTGACCCAGCTGAAGAGCAGTCCTACGAAGGGTCCTGGCCCCTGAGCAGTCTGAGTTGTATTTAACATTTTTCTCTAAAATGCTCTTCCGCCGAGTTATTCTGCCGTTCCTCTACTTTTGTTAGTTTGACCTTGTGAGGGCGCCAAGGTCAAATATCTGAACATACAATTTTCCGCTCTTTTCATTTCTGGAGTTAAAAGTAGGTCCCACTTGAAAAATCACATTTGATCTTGAAATGATCTTCAAGGTCAAGGTCAATGTCAAGGTCCCCATCGTATAGCCAGGAAGAAATCCTGAAACTTTTGTATTTAACATTTTTCTCTAAAATGCTCTCCCGCCGAGTTATTCTGCCGTTCCGGTACTTTTGCTATACCCTGTATAATAAACTTCTTTCATTGTTCGTGAATTCTTTCTTTTGTTTATATGTTTTAGCCGTAAGTTTAATTATCAAATCACGTAGTTCTTCGGAAAGGGGCCCCTTGACATATCGGGACACTTGCATTCGTGCACCTAGTCAGTCGGACTATGCCTACTGAATTTACAAATAAAATTATTATTAAAAAGATATTCTGAAATCTAAAATTTCTTAGACATCTCACAGTTGAAGTGAAGTTGTTTGATCCGTCTTACCTCTGAATCCACATTTTTCATTCCAGCTAATACGTTGTCCCTAGATTTTTTATTAATTGTTTCTATTTTCAAACAGTTACTAACAAACTGTCGTGACCAACTTTTCCACTCCTCAACTTTTTTCTGCAACAAAACATATTAAACGCTTACATATTATAACGATAATTTTAGTCAAACAATTATAACCTCTGAATCTGTTTGAATGTGTTTAACGAGTTGCTTATAACTTTCTTCATTCATAAGGGTATGCTTTTTAAGGTCTACATATTCTGCTTGAACATAATTTATTTGAGATATCAGACTCTGTTTCTCATTTTCGAATTCGTTAATTTTTTTAGCACATTCTGACAGAATTTTAGCAAGGTGTTCACGATACCGGGTTTCTTGATTTTTCATTTTTTCTAATTGTTCTTCATATAATTCATTAGTAGCAGAACAAGCTTGTTTATATTTCTTTTCAATATCCCTCATTTTTCTTAAATATTCTAGTTGTAAGTCTTCCCTCAGTTTCAGTTCACTTTTCAGTATCTCTGCTTGAAGGCATTTTTTGAAGTGCTCACCTTCGCAGTCTAAAATACATATACATTTTTCATTTGTAACACTTCTACTTTTATTTTATTTTCAAGGTGCTAAGCTAATGCAAATTAATTATATTTTAAAAATCTATATTATGAAATTAATTGCAGAATCCCTCTTTACGTAGAAGTCATTTTTTTAGGAGTAACAGTATGTATTTCACAGAATACTAATTTATACTGAAATTAACTTTTCTTAGAATTAAATAATCGAATTCTGGACAGCTTCCAAACTCGGTTGTATGTGCATGCTTATCCGCATTGTAAGACTTTGCAACATATTATTCTATAGTCACGATATTTTTTTGAATTCAGTGCGGACGAGGCACTAAAAATGAAAAACATTTTAAACAAGTTATATTTTTTGCATAATTTTATTTTAGTTTTCAGTTTATCAGTTTACCAGAAGGTATTTGTAGTAGGCTACTACTCACGACTCTGCAAAAAGTATTAATTTTTACTGGAATTAAGTATGAAAGTAAAGCGCTTTGTGAAGTACAACGACCTTATAAAGTTATTTACTTCAGTGTTTAGTTACGGAACAGTGAGTTTGTGTGTCCTCATTGTTAAATTTCTAAGTGATATCATGAAAAAAACATGAATACAAATTTGACAACAATCCATGCTGTAGCTCTCAATAATTGGATATGCCCAAGCGATCAGCGCATGCAATTGAGGTTTTTTTGTGATTTTTTTTCTTAATGGAAGAAAAAGAGGATAATAATATTGAAGGATGCTATTAACCACATCTTTAAGTCTTCAACAAAATATATTTTTCATAAATAGTACAAAATGGCGACGCTGGAACCATACTCGCGAGGCATGTTGAATTTGAGGCATTCTGCAGTACGCAGTATAACTGACGCATAATTACATATAGAAAAAAACAAAAAATTTTCTCTTAATAAATCGATAGAAATAACTCATTTAGAGGGAAAAAGAAAGAAAATTGTTACCTGGACTTTTATAAGTGGAAATATAATAAATGAAAAAAAAATAAATGCGTGAGCAGGGGTGACAGAGGATTGATTTGGGGGGTTGAAAAGTTGTGAAAAATTATATTGGGATTTCTGGCAAAAGTTGATGTGAAACAAAAAAGTATCCAATACAAAAGTTGTAGATCATGCAAAAAATGATCACCGACAGAACTCTGTACGATAATTTTCCTAAGTAGAATTTTTCTTTGACAAAAATTGTTTCAGTCCAGAAAAATTAATATCTCAGAAACTTCTTGATTTTTTTATCTAAAAAATTTTTTTAGTTATTTAAGACAGAAAGGTATACTTTCACCAAGTTTCATCAAAATTAAGTTATTTTTGCGAAAATGAGAAATAAAAAATTAAAAATCAGAAACTTGTTTTTCACATTTTTCTCGGAAATTTTGAGGTTATCTTAAAAAGTGACCTCTACAAAAGTTGTATATTTTTGCATGATCTACAACTTTTGCATTTGATACTTTTTTGTTTAATGCCAACTTTCGCCAGAAATCCCAATGATACAATGTTTCACAACTTATCAACCCCCCAAATCAACCCTCCGCCACCCCTGCTCACGCATGTATTTTTTTTTAGGTGTTTATTGTAAGCCCTTTTACCATTTGCACTTATAAAAGTCCATGTAACATTTTTTTTTCTCCAAGTGTAGTTTGGTTGGACTATAATCTACATGAATATCGTTAGAGAAATATTTATAGGGTATTTTGAAAAGATTAATTTTTGTATGATGTAAGTTCAATTTTTGATAGAAAAAAGAATGGTATTTTAAAGATATGGTCAAAATTTGGAATAAATAAATAGAATGAAAATTGTTGAAGTTATGCAGCATTTTGTTTTAAAAAACAGTGTTTCGGGGAAAACGCCTTTAAAGTATATTTGAGATATACACAATACTAATGTATGTTTGAAAATGCTCCTAATTGAACACATACTCCTTTCTAACGACATCTGTTAACAGTATTAGAGAAGTTAAGAATCAAAAGGTAAGTCATTAGGTTGTACTCTTCCAACAGGTATCTACGTGTCCCAAGTGGTCTTTTCAGAGCAGTCCGACACTTTTGGGAAAGAGCTTGAAATTACAAAGAAGAAAAGATTTTGTACAGGCTTAAAACTTTCCCCCTATTCTAGAAGGTTCAAAGCATCTTTTAAATCGATAAAAAAAATAGATTTTCTGAAAAGTTAATACTTTTAAAGCAAAGTAAAGCTTGTAATACTGACATTTGATACAACTGACAGAAGTACTTCAAAAAATATTTTTGGAAATTTTTTAATAGAGAAAAAACTTCAAATAAAAATTTTTCTTACTTACCGTTCCCCTCTTCCACTCTGCTTTGCTCTAAGTGATTTTCGGCCTCCTTCAGTTCCTTTTCTAGATTCCGTCGTACGTCTTTGTCATTCATGTCAGTCAGTTTACGTTGTAAAGTTAAAACTTCTTTTTTAGCCTCTTCGAGCTGTAACTTCGTCTTATGTAAAAGATCGCTTAATTCGTTTTTATTTTCCTCACAGATCTTCAAAACATTATCTTTATATGACAATTCTTCTCTCAGTTTGTCAATATTATTGCGGTGCAGCTGGTCAGCAGTTTCTTGTTTTTTTCTTAATTTATTCGTTAAATCTTCCACTTCAGTTTCTAGATACTTAATAGTTTTACTTGCATGGTCCAGCTGATTTTCATAGTCCCTAATTTGATACTGGTAGGTACATTTTTCACCTTCTGCTATAGTTTTCGCGTTTGTCATGTCTTCTAGAGCGTCTTCCAAGGCTTTTATTTTGTGTTTTGATTCTTGCAGTTGCTGAAGAGTTTCTTTGAATTGTGCTTGTACTTGATCTGCTTCAGCTCCAAGCATAGTTTTAATTACATCCAATGATTTTTTCCATTGTTCGATTCGATTTTCAAATACAGTTCTAATATCGCTTCTATCTAGAGAAAGCAAGAATTCTTCCATGTCACTTTCTAAGTTGGTCACTATTTCTGGATTTTCTTTATGAGACTTGCTTTTCTGTAGGTGGACCATCACCTGATTTAGCTGCTGTTTAAGTTCTTCGTACTCATTTCTTATAGTATCGGTTTCACATACACGGTGTGAAACGCTTTCAATATTCTCTAATTGTACTTGGGCTTGTTTTAAATCCAATTTCATTTTTGCGTTTTCTCTCATTAATTCGTCAGAAAACTGTTTTAGATTTTTTACTTCACTTAAAGAGACCTCTAAATCTTTTTGTAATGACTTAACTTGGTTTTCTAAATTATGCTTGTCCTTTTCTGCATTTTTTATATTCACTATTTGATCATTCAACTCTTTTTTAAAATCGTTATCTATTCTTTTTTCACTTTCTTGTAATTTTTGAATAAGCGACAGTCTTCTTTCCTCGGATTTGTCCAGCTTCTCCTGGAACAACGTTACGCAAAAGATGTTAAAGTGCTTTTAACACAATAAAAAAAAATAGAGAGACATAGGTGCTATCTATGTGCGGCGAATGGAACTACATAGTGGGAAGCCTTGATTTCATCAGTATACGTGTATCTACCATGAAGTTATAACATTTTCTGTGGAAACGTTTATAAAATTTTCTGTGAAAACGTTTGTCTATGTGTAATTATTTAATTAGTACTTACCTGTAATTCCTTAACTCTCTCTTCAGCGTTTTTCAGTTCTTCAGTCATTTGCTCCAGCTGCGGCAAGCTATATTTATGGGACAAGTTTTGAATGTCATTCCGAGTTTGCAGGAGCATTTCCTCTATTTTTTCCTGTAAATCTCTATTAGTGGAATTTAAAGTTAATATTTGTTGATTTCTGTCATCTATTGTTCTTCTATAATTCTGCAGGTCATTTTGCATTACTATCAAACTTTTAGTGTGCTCTTTATTTTCTAAAAGTAATGCACACATACAAAGTGTTTAGACATTTAAATATGAATCATCATACCACATTGTTGAAATTCCATTTTGTAAATATCACATTTAAGTTGCCTGTATTCTACTAATTCCTTCATATCACTTTCAAAATTTCTGAAAGAGGATTATTTATTTTACCCTAGAAATTTCTCACTTATTTACTTAAAATTAATCAACAAGATCTAAAAGACAAAAATAAGTTCTATGTACAGGGTGAACCAACTTTGACACTGTTATACAGAGTGTCCCAAAAGTGACACCTGTCGTTCCAGGATTTGATTAAGGGGACAAACGCAAATCAAAAATCAAGAGTGGAAAATTTTCCGATTGTTTTTCTTTGCTGTTATTCAAAAAAAATATTCAAAAAATTATAAAAGTGAAAATCCATTTTTTTTTTCTCAAAATTGAGGTCTGTGCTTAAAGGATTTTTAATCAGAGAACTGACTCTTGGCATTATTGGTTGCTCTATTACTTCCATAACAGCCTAAAATGCCTACTGCATTTTCAATATTTCTATAATTTTGCTGCCAACTTTACCTTTCAAATACACCAATTACACTTAGCTGCATTATTAATAATAATACAAAGAATTATTGTTTTTTTCTTCACAGCTTAGGAGAATGACGAGTACTATGCCAACTGAGCCATGTTTGCACTCCACTCATACATTGCTTAGTTATTTTTAAATGGCTTTTGAAGAATAAAATAATAGAGATTATAGTAGCATCGTATACGATGCAAAGTAGAGCAAAAAATTGTCGGCCTTTTATCAAAGGAAAATCGTGTCATCATTTTTAGGAGGCGTAAGATAAATCATTTCAAATTTAAAATGAAATTCAATGTAAAATCTGAAATACCGCTGCATACGCACTGTGTTCTGGTAGTAGCTGTAGTCGCCCAGGTGCATCGAGTGTACGAACTGGTCGGTTATACGTCAAATACTAACCTGGCGAGCTTTGCCGTCGGTTAGAGAGCGCTTCCAAAAAACAAGTAAACAACAGTAACGCGTACAGAGGTAAAATGTAGTACATATGTGGAATTTAGGAAACAAATTGGATTTATAATAAATTACATTTAAAATAAATAGTTTATGAGAATAAAGGAATTTTTGTAGCAACAAGGGTGCCAGACCTGAACTGATCCCCTCGTCCCTTCATAATGTATAAAGAAATTATTCCATTTGTAAAATCCTTAAAAGCGTACTTCATTGGTTCCCTTGACAGGCAATGATTTATTACTTTGCATCGAATATGATCCTACTATAGTTGTATTAAAACGAAGTTATCTAGAATACTGTGGCAATCATAAATAAATTATTCAACAGGATGGAGCTCCGTCACATTATGGTTTACGAGTAAGAAATTACCTGAATCAAAACTTCCCAGGCAAATAGCTTCGAAGAGGTGGACCCATAGCATGACCTCCTAGATCACCAGATCTGAATATATTTTATCTTTTGGGGTTATTTAAAAGAAAATGTTTACAGCGAACCTGTTGTAAATCCAAAAAATGTAGTAACCCGTATGCACACTGCTGTCGCGTTAATAGACCAAGATATGCTACAAAGGGTTTGTACTTTAATGTTCAATCGTACCAATATTTGTCTTGAAGAAGAAAGAACTTATTTGAGCACCTTTTGTAAAAATAATTTATATTATTTAAGCTCATTATATTTTTAGTTTATAAGTTTTTTTCCTCTCCGTTTTATAAAATTGTTTTATTATTAAACTGCTTTTCTCTATCCTTTTTAGGTTAAAATAATTCCTTACACCCAGGTACTACCACAGTTTCCGATAGTCGGTAACTGACTATACTTACCTACTATTATTGGTTATAAATTTGTCTTGGCACAGGCACAGACAGCAGTTTCGAGACAAGAATATTGGATTTTCACTTTTTTAGTTTTTTGAATAATTTTTTTGAATAACTCGACACAAAGAAAGACAATCGGAAAATTTCCAACTCTTGATTTTCGATTTGTTTCTGTACCCTTAATCAAATCCCAGAAGGACGGGCCTCACTTTTGGGACACCCTGTATATAGTATCTACTTTATTTAAGTACAAATTCATATAACTTGCATAAACAGTAAGTGAAAACGGAAGATTTTTACTAATTTTGGAATTTTTGTCATAATTCCAAATATTCTTTAAATTATGGTGGTGATTTACATAAAAAATAAAAATCATAAAAAAATTAAAACTAAGTATCGACCCACATTAGAACAGGGCGATATAGGAAAAATATTAAAATATTGTTTATGGACACAAGAAAAATATTGAGCCAAAAACATAAGTATGTAGTTTCATACGACGTTTGAACTATTTTAACATAACTCCATAGAACATTTGACTCATCTTTCAACTGTTGACAATTCCATGGCATATACTTTAAAATTTGATATTTTGCCCAAATTTGAAATCCAGTAGAAAGAAATACACTATTGAAAGTTCACATATGGATATGGAGGATTTGAGGAATTCTAATTAATGCTATCACGTCGGATATTAAATACAAATATCGCTGTGACTATATTAAATTTAGAGGGCAAAAAAAATCATAGATGGCTCTGGATCTTAAAAGTAACAGTTCAGTCGATTATCTTGAAGAATACAAAAGTTTTATGGATTTGTATACATATAAAAATATGCACTTTGTATAATTTCCAGTTTATCACTTATAATCCAAACTTATATTGGAACACTATACATTTTTTCATTTTTATAGTCCAACTATTTCATAATAGAATTAAGTGTCATGGATGTGACACATTGATACAAATAAATAAATATACATATTGTACACTGAAGTGGATCATAAAACTGTTGAATTAGAAAAAAAATGTATCATTGTATGATCATTTGAAAAGAAATTTGAAGCAATTTCAAAAAATTAAAAAAAAGGTATAAAAATTTTTAATAGGTAGTATATAATTATATATGCCAGAAGGGTGCGGCAGTTACCGAAGCGGCCAAGGCCTGCCGACTGAGGTGGACCAGGGCAGCCCGGCAAAACCGTAGTGGGCTTGAATCCCGTACACGGCAGGAAAATTCAAAGGAATTTTCCAGTCGTATCCATAGACGTTTGTGATTGTTAAGGTGGAGGGTAGTGTAAGTTAGCAGGCAAAAAGGTCCAAGCATGGCCTAATTGCCTGTAAGCTTCATGACCTTTTTTACCTTTTTATACAGGGTGTTAGGGAAATGACTCTCGTAATTTTACCGGGCGAATAAATATATCAAGCTAAGCAAAAAAGTTTATTACAACATAGGTCCTAAAACCAACCGTTTTCCAGAAAATCACGTACAAAGTGTTAATGAAATTTGGTATGGTTCGGCAACAGCGCATCGGAACTAAACATGGGTTCTGAATGAGTAAATCAGTTGTAAAAAAGTAATCTGAAAACCTAGACTATTAAATTTATGGCTAACGCACCATTATAACTTATTATTTTCGGAAAATTAATTATTGCTACAATTCAGAATTGGTTTTGATAACATTACATAGTCAGATAAATTTTAAAAAATTAAGTTCACTTGAGTTCTTTCGTTTTATTTCAGCTCAGACAACTAAGAATTACTAATTATTTCTAAACACTTCACAATAAATGTTCAAAATGTCTGCCTTCACTATCTAAACAACTCCGACACCTGCGAATCCAGTTTTCACGAATTCGTTGGAAAATCCCTGCCGTATTACGAATTTGATCGGCTGCTGCAAAAATTCGTTCTCGAAGATTATTTTCATTTTCAATTTCGGAGGAATACACGATATTCTTCATATGACCCCAAAGGAAGAAATCCAATGGATTCAGATCCGGTGATCGCGCCGGCCAGCGATGTGGACCATTTCTGCCTATCCACTTATTTGTGAAAGTGTTGTTTAGGTACTGCACTACTGCACGACTTGAGTGAGCTGGTGCCCCATCGTGTAAATACCACATACTTAAACGTGTTTGAATTGGCACTTCCTCTAATAACTCTGGTAAATTGTTCGTCAAAAAAGCTAGATATTCTTCACCAGTTAATCTACGTGGTAAAATAAAAGGCCCTATGAGGAAGTTACCTATTAAACCGGCCCAAACGTTAAAAGAAAATTGATGTTGCCTATTCCTTTGCACAATAGTATGGGGATTTTCTTCAGCCCAATTATGTGCATTGTGAAAATTCCAAATGCCACTGCGCGTAAAACAAGCCTCATCTGTTGACAAAATGCAGGAAACAAAATTGCGATCTCGTTCACTCTTGTTAATGAACCATCTACAGAAATGTTCTCTTGGAGGAAAATCAGCTGGTAAAAGGGCTTGAACTCTCTGAACATGATATGGGTACAACAACTGTTCTTTCAAGGTTCTGTGTACACTCCAATGAGACACTCCGACTTGACGAGCAATACTTCTAGTACTGCGACTGGAATCTGCTGCTACCAATTCTAAAATTTGTTCTTCAGTTTCCACTTCGATTTCTCGCTGGCGGCCGCGATTGTCATTTTTTGGAATAACACTACCGGTCTCAAGTAATCTTTGGGAGACTGCTACAAATGTTTCACGAGCTGGTAACTGTTTGTCAGGAAACCGTAGTTCATAAATACGTCTTGCTCGTTGAGAGTTACACCGAGCTTCTCCATAAATAAGAAGCATATCGTGATATTCACGCACAGAATACATTTTACTTAGCTTGTCACAACACAACAGACCGACATGTAAATTAAGAAATAACTGTAAAGTAGATTTTTGACAGCGCGGGCGTGTTGATTGATTCGCAAATAAATCATAAGTACGGTCGCACTGGTGTACCTACCTATGCGGCATTGCCATGTCTCAGGCCCTACAATATTATTTATTTTTATTTAACAAATGTTCATTGTAGTTGGATGTAAAGTGTAATTTTAAAACTAAACAATAAAATAATGATAACTTAGATGCAAATCATTAATGTTTTAAACGCAGATTTGCTATTTGAGGCAGATTTACCGCTGATAAATTGAAAGTTTATTATTTATTTTCTGGAAAACGGTTGGTTTTAGGACCTATGTTGTAATAAACTTTTTTGCTTGGCATGACATACTGAATCGCCTGATAAAGTTACGAGAGTCATTTCCCAAACACCCTGTATATGCCAGAAGAAACCTCTTTACTAAAATCAAAAGCAAAAAGTCACAAAAAGTTATTCACTAAAACAAGCAAATGACGAATACATGAAGCCTATGACATCTTGACTATTTTTTGTGTAACTGCTCAAAAAAAGTCAAGGACTTTCCAAAAGTATCAAAATTGGCTCACCCTGTATGATTACTTACTTTAACTTTGTATTTAATGTGTCTATCTGAATAGATTTATCTACCAATAACTTTTTCAGTTTTTCAGTATGTGTTAAAAGTGTATTATAATCCTACAAATAAGTTCATTCAGATAATAAATATTTAAATATTATAAATTTTTACCAAAGCTTCTTTTTGATTATTTTCTCCAAAATCATTGCTATTAATTTCATTGAGTCTCTCTAAAACATAAAATATAAATTAAAAACCCACTGTATTTTTAAATATTTTAATTCAAATTTGGCAAGCAGTGTCCCATTTTATCTTTTGTTAAATCATTTTTTTATACCTACCTTGCAAATGGCGATTTTCACTCGTCAACATTTCCACTATATCTAACAGATTCCTGCATTGCTGCTGAGCATCATCTACTGTTTTCGTCAAAGCATTAATGGTTGTGTTATCTTCATTTTCATTTTTTGTTTTTTGTTCTATTAAGTTATGCATATCCTGCTGTAAGGTCATCTTTTCTTTTTCCTAAAAATCGATACTTATTAAAAAAAATGCATCTATTTTTAGGACGAAACCAACCAAGATTTTAGCTGCTTTTGTTTGTTCATCTAATAGATACTCCAACTTAGCAATTTGTTCTTGATGTGCTTTTTGAAGTTCCTCAGAATTGAAACGTTTTGCTCCTGTACTAAAAGGACTAGAATCTGCCAGTTTCAATTGCAGTTCATTTACAGCTGTCTGGTAAGTACAAATTTCAATTTTATACTAAAATATATATTAAATCAGCATATTTCAATTTTATACTAAAATTTATATTAAATTAGCATAAGGATTAATCGAGCATGATAAGTGAGCCCTCACTGTTAAGTAGAGATATATTTGACAAAGTGTGAATATAAGGTTCTTAAAATATAAACCTTAAATTGATACTTACATTTTCAACAGCCTTTTCGTAATCCTTTAATTGCACATCTTTACTATTTAAGATGTCATTTAATTGCTTTATGTTACTAGTTTTTTCAACTGGAAAAGGTATTTTAATTCATAATCTAATTTGTTAATGGTTTTCTAAATATACCTACTACATCCTCCACATTTTTTAAAGAAATTTTTATCTGTCTCATTTCTGTTTCTGACAGTAATAACTTATTTTTCAGCCCATCAATATCTTTCTTCGCTTGTGTTTTAAACTCATTATACTCTTTTCTGAGACTGTCTAATTCTCTAACTCGTACATCATATAAAACTTTTAATTGTTCGTTTGGGTTAGAAGCTTGTCGATAATTTTGCTGTACTTCATCAAATGATACATTTGCAGAGGAATTTACAGTACTTTCATCGTAATTAAAATCATCTAAAGCTGCTGTTAATAAATTTTGTAACTGAAACATAAATGTAGTGTAGTGTAGTGCAATATACCAAAATCAAATTGTATAGTTAACCTCTTCTTTCCTTCGTTTTTGATCCTCTATATCCTCCTCTTCCTCATTATTCTGAGAATTATTTATTTTAATATCGGTGCCTTGAAATAAACTTGAAGTCGGATTGTCCATTCTTTTTGTAATATATTTTAATATTTTGCCGCCAATCGTTAGAAAATGTGGTTAGAAATGCCTTTATTTTTATTTATTTCAAAACCATAGACCTACGGACCACGGAGTTTTTACAAACTGTGATCCTATGACTCCTTACGATCAGTGATTTTATCGTACGGTTTAATGACGATTTCGATTTACATGAAAGTTTGCACTGAGTACGCACTGTAAACAACTTCTACGTTCGATTTGTATTTTGAGTGCACACTTTGCCTATCGAATGTGTTCGATTTACAAGTTAGTTCGCAAGAATGTGGCGAGAATGCAAATTTTCTTGCACTGACAATATAGTCGGTTCAATAGTCCGGAAGATGTAATAAATAAATAATCAGACTTACTTAACTACTATTTGTCCACCTTAGCAAAGCGCATCCCAGGCTGCATAGCCGCACTACCCTACCCAACCATACCACACATAAACATGACACTACCCCCGGGGTTTACACAGACGAGCCGGCGAAGCAAGAAGAGCGCCAGAAGAAAGGGCCCTAGCCGGCGGGGCCCAGCCNCTTACCTGGGCATAACCCCGGGACAGGTACCTGCGACAAAGATGCCGACGGCCTCTATGCTTATGTCGGGGATTAGGTCGGTGATTAAAAGGAAAGAAAGGGATGCTTTCCAGGTAGCCTTAATAAAGGCAGGTAGATCTTGCTCGTTGCAATGCACTTCACCTCAAAACAAGCACGTCCGCTCAGCTCGGCTGTTCGCTCTGAACTCACAGACGAATTGGCGAAGCAAGAAGAGCGCCAGAAGAAAGGGCCCTTGCCGGCGGGGCCCAGCCAGGACAAAAGGAGGTCCCACAAAGCGCCTACACCGGCCGTATTTGCGGTCGGGGTAGACGACGGATGGGGCCCACCTACGAAGGCTGTCCAGGCCTACACGAGATGAGGCAGGATAAAGAGGGATAATCCCCCTCGATCCCAAATCATTGAGGCCAATTTCTAGCCATGGAATAAAGGCGCGATGCGTGTTCGATTTAATTGCATGCTCAGTGTTTCGGGCAAAACTTTGTAGCACTTGTGGCGAACTTTACGTCACAGCAGTGCGCACTACATGTTCATAATGTATATAAATCGAAATCGTCAAGAGTCGCGTGCCGTTATTCCATCACGTGTAGGCCTGGACAGCCTTCGTAGGTGGGCCCCATCCGTCGTCAACCCCGATCGCAAATGCGGCCGGTGTGGGCGCTTTGTTGGACCTCCTTTTGTCCTGGCTGGGCTCCGCCAGCTAGGGCCCTATCTTCTGGCGCTCAAAAATATCCAAATTATTTTTGCACAATTGTAATACAGATCAATCACTATTATTTAATTTGAAAAATATGTAATGACAATCTGTTTTAAGATTTGAAGTATTTCTTCAGAGAAGAAGAAGAGTTGTAAGGATGTGTTCTGTCGTTTATTTTAATTTTCAATTTAGGAAGCGAGATGGGAAGGAAGAGGAAATGTAACAATGTGGTGAGGTTAAGAAACATATGTTTGAACGTACTTTTGTAAAAATAAAGTAATTTTAGTAATTTTTTTTGTAGTTTCTGGAGTGACCTCTCCGATACATCTGCTACAAGGTTTAAAATATTAAATGCTTGAAGATATAATTTGATAAAAAATGTATTTCAAGAAAAATCAATACATAGTCGTTTTAAAACAAGCACTTAATAATCTTGACATCTCTGATCAAAAGCTATCCATGCATAAAATCTAATATATTTTACCTAATTATAATGAACTGACTTGACTTATGCCATTATCTCTTTTTAAGATGAAGACTGCAAATGTCCGTTGTATATTAGTTCCTATTCTTTGCTCTGGCTCGAGCCTGACATTTGTCATACTTTTAGTCATTGTTTTCATTCCTCTATGTGGGCTAACAGGAAGTAAATCGATTGTATAGTTCACGGTTTTAGAATATTACAACTTTTTTGCTTGTATTCTAGAAACTGCTGAAAAAACTCGAAAGAAAATACCTCCATATGAGAAAGGATGGGGTGCTTCTTGATTCGTCACTTTGTGGCTTGTAGAAAAGCCATATGACAGCAAGTCAGTCTTTTTCGAGGGCAGGTGTAGGTAAAAATTACGTACCGTTGTTAATATATCGAATTGTACAAATCACCACAGCCAGTACATATAAGACATGTATATGTCGCAGGCTAATTGCAAATTTAGTCTTTTTTATAAATGACTGGGCAAATTGTAAAATGATGTGTAAATAAATTTCTTTTTACAATTCGACGAATTAGCAATTATTTTTTCATGCCACATTATATAGAATTAAAAATATACTTTTTACTTGTATGCAATATTGTATGAACCAGCAGTAACATAAATTGCTAATTCATGAAATGCCTACCTCATTTTTAGTCGTTTACAAAACGACTAGAGAAAGTCAGTTAATTCTAAAAAAATGAAGATCAAGATACGTTTATGATAAGACTTATAGCTATTCGACATTTTATAACACCTAAAATTTTCAAATTGTAAAAAAAAAATGCATTTACACACCACTTTACAATTTGCCTAATCACTTATAAAACGCCTAGGTATTTTTATAAAAAGACTGAATTTGCAATTAGCCTGCGGCATATATACAGCTGCAATTAAAACACGGAGATCATTCCAAAAACCAACAAATACACAGGATCTCATAAAAAAAAGTGTGGCTTATATTTTCGACATTTTAAGGCCTGCGCATACATACGCGGTAGCGACGGCGGTGGCGTTATTCAAATTTAAATATACCGCTCGTACCGCGACATGTATGTTTTGACCCATTTGTTTCTATGCGTTACATTCAAACGCCACCGCTTAAATTACCGCGTATGTGTGTGCAGGCCTTTAGGGTTCCCTGTCGCTGTCCGTTATTAGGAAGCTATACTTTAGATGAAAATCTACACCATGTTATATGAAATAATTTATTAACAGAAGGAAAAAGAAGAATTAAAAATCAGTATTAAGACAGAAAACGATATATTTAATACTTAAAACTGACATGAGTTGACACAATTATTAAATCACAGTTCATATATGCTATGAAGACCCTCTTTTCTCAATAAATATAGTTTGTATAAATATATTCATAGATGGTATATAAAATCTTAAATTAATTTTAAATACGATACATATATCATTTATCCTTTAAACTTGAAGCCAGGAGAACTGCCATAAGAAAATTTATTTGATTTACTACTAGGCGTTGACGATAGTTCTTGATTACATAAGAAGTCATCAATTTCATGGTTGGGCTCTTTAGTATCAACGTCCATTGGTTCTTCGCAAGTTTCCTCATACTCCCTGTAGAAAGGTTCGATTTTTTTACTAGATCTAAAAAAATGCAAATAAAGTAAAACCTAATAAATCAAAAATCTATAAAGAATTTTACCTTTCCAAAATATACGGATCAAAAGGGTAGAAAGCTTCCAAAACATTGTTGGACATAAGAATTGCTCCTCTATCATCCTGATAAATAATTGGCATGGTGTTTCTGTCGTTATGCTCTATTATTGTATAACAATAAGCTAACTGGTATTTTCTTGTGACAGCTGCAAAATTTTGCACCACAGCTGGCTGACAAACCCTCAATGGATTTAGCCTACTCGTTACCATTTTAGCCATATTCAAACTGTCTAAGAATACTACGTCTAAAAATTACAATTAAAAATAATATACAAGTTGTTCTGAAAAAGATCAGGCTTCATAGAACAAAAAATATTATTTGTTTTGGTATCTTCTGCAAAATAGATTTTATGCTGAAATTTTGCAGGTACATTATTGAGGAAAGTCAATGTAATTAGTTTTTGACTAGAGAAATCCCTAGCAATGATCTTCCTCGATAACATTTTTAGGATTACTAACATCGGGCCAAAGCTGACACGACAAAATATTATCTATAAAAATAAAAATTTAATGCTGTTTGTTGGCAAGCACACCACTTGAGAAGGGCTGGACCGATTTGGCAATTTATTTTTTTTTTGAAGTACTTAACAGTCCCAATATGGGTTTTAACGAAAGAAAAATTGGAAAAGTTGCCCAGAAAATTGGAAAAATTGAAAAAAACTGAAAAGTACTTATCGCGAACAAGTTTATTGAAATTTGGACAGGACAACGTCTATCCGATCAGCTACTTTCAAATAATTATCACAGGAAGAAAAGTCAATATATTAAGATATTTGATAATTTTATACGAATCGTAATAAAAAGAAAACAATTCTTGTAAATAATAAAAATAAAACAACCAATGATGATGATTGTTCCACAAAATAATACACTACATAAATATCCTGTTTACCTGTAACAATAAGTAATATTTAATATAAGGAAAATTTGGAAAATATTTTCCCTATTTCTAAATTTATATTTTTGGTCATGTAATGATTTTAATCCTGGACCTTTATATCGACTAATTTTGCACATTCACTTCCAGACTTTCACTCTCAATGTGCGATGTTTTCATTTTGATCTTGTTGCTATGAATTGTAAGAGTATAATTTTTAGTGAACTCGAATAATTTTATTTGAAACACCAAGCCCTAAGAACAATTTTTAGGTTAGGTTTTCTGCTGTGTATTTTGCATATTATAACGTAAAATTTCATATTAAGTAAAAAAGTAACTTTTACTAAAATTGCTGAAAATACAATTAAAAGAAATCAATTAAATGGACTTATGATATATCAATCCCCCGAGGGTTGAGCTACCTACCAGGCGCGTCCCTGGGTGGTGGATAGAGGGAGCCATAGGATCTCGGTCCTATGGCTAGGGTTGTCATAAGCAACTCCACTGGGGCTAACCCACTGGCTTGGACCCCCAACTCCCGTGTGGTCAGAGCAACACACCACATCGATCCGGAATTCGCTGGGAGCTAACCCACTCCCGGCCAATCGACTGTGCTGTCCTGTCAGAGGGGCGGCAGGGTGAGCTTTTGGGACAGGGGGGCGTGTAGGAGGCTGCAGAACTGGGCGTCGGTTGGCTCTGGCGTTCAGGGAAGCACAACCCTCTCATGACGTTGTCCTGTTTCTTGGTAGCCTTGCTGACTGCTTGCAGCATCCCCTAGTTGGGCTCTGTGGCGGGTGGGGAGCCAGGTGGACGAACATCATTTAAATCCTACATGCATAATAAAAAAGTCAAACTAACAGCAGCAGAGCGGCAATGTCTGCCACAACCTGAGGCAGAGGGGCAACACTTGCCACAACCTGGACAATCGTTCCTAACTGTCCCTCAAATGGGGGACAGTAAAAAGACCCAAAGGGGCAAACGAATATATGGGGCTGAAGCCAAGAGGAGTGCGAGAAGAGGCTCGAGCTGCAACTGCAGCTCCCTCCTCCAAAGGCGCCCACTCTACCGCAGGGTATCTGAGGGTTGCAATCATTGATAAGGACAACCCCTATGGGAAAATTCTCATGGATAGGGAGGCCCTTATCAAAAAATTACTGCTGGTGGAGTTGGACAAAATTCTTCTGACTACCGATGTTACAATTATTAGACCACCTGTGTTTCGCTCGAGGACTTACTCTGGTGAGATCATTAGGGTTGTCTGCGAAGACGAGTACACACAGACATTGTTGACGGACACAGTGGGAAGTCTGAGTCCTTGGGAAGGCAGTGCCCTCGCCGTAGTGCGCTCTGACCAGTTGCCAAGGCTGACAAGTCACTCTCTGGACTCCCGTGAAAGCCGAAAGCGACCATGGGGAGGAGGTGGTGATGCGTTGCCTAGCAGGTCAGAACCCCACGGTGAGTGTGAACAGGTGGTGCCACCATGAGGCCAAGGATGACCCACGAAGCTAATTTGAAAACCCTTGAGGCGAGGTCGATGAAAATGCACTACATCTTCCAGTCACTCGTTCTCAAAGAAAAAACACACGAACCTGCGGCGACAGCCACTTCTTCAACTCCTTCATCTCTGGTGCAGGGAGAAGAGGAAATCGTCCCCTCCTCCTAGGAGGCTGAGAGGATAAGAAAAATAACACCTTGCAGCTTTACAATGTTTGGTTTAATAAAGGTAAGTGTGGTACAGTGTAATCTGCAACATAGCATGGCGGCAACGGCTGCTTTATGTTGCCGCTTTGATGTGGAGTAGGGTACACTGGCACTGATACAAGAACCCTGGGTAGTTAAATCCAAGAAGGCGTTTTATCAATGCTGCTGTGGAACTTAGTTCTAGAGAGTCTCGTATGCCACCTCAACTTGGAAATTGGTATCTATTATGCAGATGATCTCACTATGCTGATTAGTGAAAAATTCAAAGAGATTATTTGCCAAAGAATGCAATCAGCCCTAAGATCTATTGAAAAGTGGTGTGAGGACCATGCTCTGTCAGTCAACCCCAGAAACATGGAGATGGTTTTCTTCACGAAGAAGAGAAAACTACGGACAATAAAGGCATCTAAACACTACACTAAGCATTGCATCTGATGTGAAATACCTAGTTGTTACACTCGATGCAAAGCTAACATGGAATCTTCATTTTGAAAGAAGATTAGAAAAGGCGTACATATCCTATGAGCAGTGCCGCAGAACCATTGGCAAAACCTGGGGCATGAAACCAAATGTGGTTATGTGGATATACACTGCCATAGTAAGACCAATGTTAGCCTATGGGGCTGTCGTTTGGTGGCCGAAATCCCAGCTAAACAAAAGCTCAGCCAAGTACAAAGGATTGCCTGTCTGAGCATAACTGGAGCTATGCGAACAGCACCCATCATAGCAATGGAGACAATGCTGTGTCTGCCACCTCTGGATGAGTGACCTTGAAAACCATGCTTCGCCTCAAAAACGTTGCTTTCAAACCGGATGTAGGACATGGAGAAGTTAGGAGTCGCCTATGGAACGAGGTCGTCAGGAAGATGCCCCTTCTTCAGGCAGACACTGGCAGTATTTCACCCCGCTGCATTCGACAAACCCTACACCGTACTAGTTAAGAGACAGGAGGAGACCGCTCGCGAAGATGTAATCAACGTCTTCACAGACAGATCAAAAAGGAAGGAAGCTGCAGGATGTGGAATATATTCCAGATCCTTGCATATCCGATATCAGTGGGCAATGGATAGACATGCTACCGTGGTACAAACGGAATTAGCAGGTATAACCAGCCACTAAAGAAATCGCAGACACACTGTGGGTAAAATCATTAGAATCTACACAGATAGTAAACAAGCACTACTGATCTTACATAACCATAAGATAATGACTAGGTCAGTCTGGGAATGTATGGCATTTGTGCCCTTTTCGAATTCATTAAAAATTAACTATTAAAAAAATATTGCCGTATAAATATCGTGGCACTAAAGGGAAAAAAAAGGCCCCAAAGTTCCAAAAAAACGTTTGCATATAAATGCAATTTTTTTCCATACAAAAGTTTTTAATATGTGTACGCACACCTACAATTCAATTTGTTTGTTTTGCCAAAATTAATTTTTTATTTTTCAATTATGCCATGAAAATGGTGCTCTCTGTAAAGATTGTAAAGTAATACTTAAAATTGAATTTGCCGCTGAGAATCACAGCATTAGTCTCCAACATTTCAAAACACCAAAAACATTATTAATACTTCTTTGAAATATCAATTTAATTTTTTGGTAATTATTATAAATTTTTTGCATTGAAAAAGGTAAATTCTAAAACATATATTGATTAAGATAATTTAGTTTTACATTTTTATTAGTCTACCTACTTGGAATTTATGAAACACTATCAGCCGGATTCACGAAAGGGGCGTAAGGCGTTAGTCGGACTAAGGAGTTTTGCGCCCGTGTAAACGTATTCACAAATAATGCGCTTCCCTTGCGCCTTTTACTTGCGCTAATACGTCAAAATTTAGACCTTCTACATGACATGCATAAAAATCGTGCAACTTAAGGTGTAGTTTATTAAGTTCATTGCATTTTATTATTTTAATTGTAATATATTATAAGTATTTCCAATGCTTTATAATAGTTTAACCACAAGACAATAGACGTGGCATTATAATAATTAATAGTTGCACCTTCTACGTGCACTTTTTTTTTAAATAAAACTTGTTTATTTGGTATGGCTGGATTCGGTTTTCTATAAGCTTTCCAACGAGCCCCCTCATGCCTTATATTTCCATTTGAAAAAAAAAGTAGGAGTAGCTGGGGGTTAGGGGGTTGAACAAAAATTATTATATAACCGAAAAATGGGAAAAAATCAAAATCAGTTTACGTTTCGGCGTTTTAAAAAAAATTAACTCATTCAAAAGATATGAATTTTATTCCGTACTTTTGGCCATCCCTGTATAACAGTAATGCTATAGTAACATTATAATACATAAATGTTTACAAGTCACGTGACCACCGAGCTTATGTAACCCAACATTGCACAACTGGTATTAGTAACAAAAATGAAAAACGATGAACAGTGAAAAACCATTACATCTACATTCGAGATAATGTGATCGCTGGCTGATTGGTTGAATAGAATTTCGAGAAAAATTACATCAATCACAGCCGATGAATAATGCGTCTTAATGTAATCTTGATCTTATTGTTTTAATTTTACCGAAATTTAATTGCCAACGTCAAGAAAATATAATTACTGGTCACATGGCCCATAATCATTTATGAAAACTCAGTAGTAGCAGCAGTAATATAGATTGAATTGATTCATATATAAAAACTTACTTTTCTTCTTTCCTATGAAATCTTTATGTCGGAAAGACACAATATAAAATAAAGCTTGGCATACACTATAAAATACTGAATGAACTCTAACATCAGAATTAACACATTCTAATCCATCTTGATTGGAGTTATAAGTATGAATCCATTCCGCCATTTGCTGTAAAGTTCCTTTTAATATTCTAGAAAAAAAAAAAAAATTATTTTATTACCTTGTCTGTAAATTACACATGGAACTATATATGCATACAGGATATTGTAGATGCAGTGAATACTTTTTTAATACTACTAGGATTACTAGAAGTTTATTTGATGGTATCCAGTAGCATAACGTGGCCAATATTTTTTATTGTACAGCGTGTTTTATATCAAAATGCTAACATGTTTTTTTAAAGGAACACCCTATACAAACTTGCAGTTTGTTTATGATGAGTAATAGAATGAATTAATAAGCATCATTAGTAATCAAAACCACTGAAACTGCAGAATGGTGCTTAAAATTAATAATAATGAAAATGAATAAATAGTTATGGCCGTAGATAGTGCTGACATCCACTTTTTTGTCCTTTTTTTTTTTTTTTTTTTTTTTTTTTTTTTTTTTTTTTTTTTTTTTTATAGGCAGAACAATTGGAAACATCAGTTCTTGCCCGATACTTTTATTGTTTAATTTTGAAGAGAATTATTATAAGTGCACAAACATTTAAGTGAAGTCGATTATTTGAAATGTGGTAACTATGCAAAAAATTACTGAAAATATATAGAAAGTATGAAAACATAATTTACCAATGGTATCCTCACAGTGCCTATATAATTTAGTTTTTGCCAAAGTAACCTCTACTAGTAGTATTATTAGTTCAAAGACCAAACTGCAGATTGTCATGGATAAAAGTGTGGTGGACTTTCTCATCAACAAATAATTAACAATTTCTACAGCAACTATGGCGCTAAAAAATTACTGAAATGTATGTTTACTTTTTTCATGCAATTCAATTTGCTGATATTTACATGCATTAAAGTGAGGCCATTATACAATATTTAGATAGGACAGCTTCAAGCTTTTCCTATATTTATCTTTATCGATGATAAAACGTAAAACCATCCAAATAATTGCCTCACTGAATTTAACTTTTGAATAATTACAATAACAAATTTCGAAGCTAAAAGTAAGAAGTCAAAGGAAGGCAAGGCTAAAGGATGAAGAAGCTGAATCTTATAAATATGTCGTAATATAAATTTTGCGTAGATTTTCATTAAATAAAAAACATAGCGAGTTTAATTTAAAAAATCCTATTCCAGTATTTTGATAAAAAAACACCCTGTATAGACAAAAACATTAATTCTTATTATAAAAGATTAAATCTCTAAATATACCTAATAAACCTAAAAGATATTGAATAGTTACACACTAAATTTACACCCTGTATATATATTTTATCTTAAAACAATATTCTTTATAATGACTAATTTCAAATATGATCGTTTTTATGAATACTGTTAGAAATAAGTTGCGCAATATTACAAAAGTAGCTAAAGAATCCACTAATCATTTTAAATTGCACAACTTGTGTTATATTAATAAATTAAAAATATACTTACGACAGAGATATAAAGTTGGCTCTTGCGACAAGACTAGCAATATAATTTACAGATGCCTGCCGTAAAATTGGAGGAACATTTGGGTTACAGACCTTTTTCCATAAGAAATTCAAAAATGCTTCTGTTATAGTTGATTTAAAACAACACATTAGGAACATAACATATTGTACGTGATGAGTATTATAAGTAGGTAGGATAACTTTGTCAAATACAGATATTACGTCTTGGTACAACGATTTTGTTTTATCCCACCTCAATTGACCATCCTTAGAATTGTGACATTCAGAAGTAATGTAATTGAATAACATATTTAAACACATATCTAAGGTATGTGCTACTGTATGACGGTTTACAACTGTAAAAGAGGTAGTGGAAGTTTTAACTGATTTCGAGTCGTCATCCATCAAAAACATTTCATCATCTGCATTGATAAACTTCTCTATTTCTTCCTTAGGAGCATTCACATCCAATATTATTAGCCTGAAATTGTGGAAAATTGACTATAGAAATAAAAAAAATATAGAAAGAAAAATAAAAATAAGAGGACAAGTATTATAGAATACATATTGAAATTAACTGGAATACTCACTTTGAACATATAAGATGTAAGATATCATGTCGAAAGGACGGTTGGTACTCCAATATCCATAAAACATTATGTAAATAACATTCATGTATATGAGTAGATTTATTATAATAAGGGAAGTACTTACTTATAGAATTCATTAATATCTCCTTACACCTAAAACCCACATTAGTTTTATATTGAAACAATAGCAATAAGATAAAACTTACATTGGCACAACATGCATCAGTAAATTTAACAAAGTGTGTACATTAATATATTTACGATTATTTGCATCACCTGGAATTCCATCTGGCCAATCTGTATCCCCTGGATCTAAAACATGGTTAAATTAAAATATATAATTTCAAATAAGGGTAAATATACACACCTGGTAAAAATAAAGTAACTAATTTTTCAATTACCAATTTTGCATGATAATTATGTGCAGATAATAAATTTACAATAAAAGATTGGTATTCTGACACCACACCATTATTCTTATCAATCCAGCTTACAGAAAGTATAGCTTCAACAAACAGCCTTAAATCCTGATTTAATAAAGTAATGCATTCTGTGGCTTCTTTCAAAAGAGAAGATATGTCCTCATCAGTTAATTCAGCGTCTCTTATAAGACACAACAAGTTTTCATAATCTCTTGAAATTTTATTTCCTTTATATTCTTCTAGAATATTTTGGACTTTTTGTGCATGAGGCAAAACAAATTTTACTTTATTTGGAGATTTTATTTCACTTAATCTACTTCTTAATGCTTTTCCCTTTTTTAAAATTGATGGAGGTGAAGAATTCTTCCTTCTACTGGAAATAACAGACATCTGAAAAGTGAAAACGTTAAAATTACATATGTCTTAGAAATAAAACTAAATGCTAACCTTAATTTTTCCTCTGTAATGGTAATCGTGCAACTTAATTGTTTTAATATAAGTGAATGAAATTTGTAAAGTAATAAATACTTTATACAGCCCAATTTATTTTTTTTTAAATAGACACCACCACATGTGCTTTTCTTGTACCGACAAGTCTATCAAGTCATGAACAATTGAACAAAACCATTAAAAATCTCAAACCAACAAACCAAGGATTCTTATATTTTCCCCTAAATTTAAGTTTAAGACCCTGTATAACTTTATTCGTTTTATGAATTGATCATAATGATCTAGGTAACATTTCTGTTTGCGTTAAATTAAATATTACCAAATTTATTATGAAATTAACAATTTTTTTGTGTTTGAAAGGATGGTAAGTATGTATAATATTCACAAAAGAACATCATGATTCGTGATTCTGTCAAAGTAAAAAATCATCAGGGGCTTAATTTTTGAAAACAGGAGAACTGATTCTCCAGAGAAAAAATTCACCTGACAAATTTCTCTTAAAAACTTAAACACTTATTTTTGAACGTTGAAGGAATCCAATTCTCTAGAGAAATTAATTTATGCCGTATGTCGAGGATATATTTGCAACTGACCAATCAGCGGGCAGAGTTTTCTTCAATATTTCAGTGCCATTATTGGCGACCCTGATGTTTAGTCACTTGATTTGATTTTTTAGTTTGTTTTGTAAATGTCATTATATTCGTCAGGGAGACTAGACATCTCCGTGATATTTGTAGTAATTTAATATAACTTCAATTTGAATAGAAGTATATTTGAAAACACAAAAAATTTAATATTATTATAATTATGATGAAGCGTTCGTTCACGTCGAAAGCGCAAAAAAGAAATTAATATGCTTAGAAACAACGAAGAACTTTTTAAAATGAAAGTTTTCTTCTACTTTCACTCACAAAAAGGCCCAAAAACAGTGGTCAGATATTGCTGAAACTTTAAATGGTTTAATTAATGTTGTCGCGGATGGTTTACAATTTCTGCAGCTTGCAAATTATTCATTATATTTAGAATTAATAATAAATTATTTGGATCCATTACAAATTTCAAATGATTACGCACCTTCGAACAGCGAATGAATGAAGTGACAATTCGCGCATGAGCATGAGATGACATTTGGATTCAAACTATTCGGAGAAAACGCCAATTCCCCCGACAAAACCCTGTGGAATTATTTCTCTTGATATCTAGAGAAAATATTCCACAAGAAAATTTCAAAAATCACATTATCTGCGTGTCAAGAGAAAATGACGTAATTTTCTCTAATGAACTAATTCTCCTGTTTTCAAAAATCAACCCCCAGGGGCTTGATTTTTGAAAACAGGAGAATTAGTTCATTAGAGAAAATTACGTCATTTTCTCTTGACACACAGATAATGTGATTTTTGAAATTTTCTTGTGGAATATTTTCTCTAGATATCAAGAGAAATAATTCCACAGGGTTTTGTCGGGGGAATTGGCGTTTTCTCCGAATAGTTTGAATCCAAATGTCATCTCATGCTCATGCGCGAAAAGTCACTTCATTCATTCGCTGTTCGAAGGTGCGTAATCATTTGAAATTTGAAATTTGTAATGGATCCAAATAATTTATTATTAATTCTAAATATAATGAATAATTTGCAAGCTGCAGAAATTGTAAACCATCCGCGACAACATTAATTAAACCATTTAAAGTTTCAGCAATATCTGACCACTGTTCTTGGGCCTTTTTGTGAGTAAAAGTAGAAGAAAACTTTCATTTTAAAAAGTTCTTCGTTGTTTCTAAGCATGTTAATTTCTTTTTTGCGCTTTCGACGTGAACGAATAACGCTTCATCATAATTATAATAATATTAAATTTTTTGTGTTTTCAAATACATTTCTATTCAAATTGAAGTTATATTAAATTACTACGAATATCATGGAGATGTCTAGTCTCCCTGACGAATATAATGACATTTACAAAACAAACTTCAAAATCAAATCAAGTGACTAAACATCAGGGTCGCCAATAATGGCACTGAAATATTGAAGAAAACTCTGCCCGCTGATTGGTCAGTTGCAAATATATCCTCGACATACGGCATAAATTAAATTCTCTAGAGAATTGGATTCCTTCAACGTTCAAAAATAAGTGTTTAAGTTTTTAAGAGAAATTTGTCAGGTGAATTTTTTCTCTGGAGAATCAGTTCTCCTGTTTTCAAAAATCAAGCCCCTG